AATTTGGATGTAAGGACGCAATTTTGCTCCTTTTTTAACCTAACCTGTGTTTACAGATGGAGCCAAAACAGATAGCTCCCTAACAGCAGCAGAAATAATTTGAGATCATTGTCATTGCATGCAAACCCCAAGACAGATATATAACTTTACAGCTTAAGCTGCTTTGATGTATGGCTGTGGAAAATACAGAAAGAGGACATTTCTTAATTCTCACTCATTTAAAATCCTCCCTGCAGGTACTTGAATATGCAAAGATTGATCATCTCATTATTACAAGCATCTTCGCTGAAGTAGATGTTTTGCACGATAATAGCTTCAGTATATTTCTTCTTCTACAAGTCGTATTAGTTTATCTGCTAATGAGAAAGCGAATATTGCTGCAAAGGAGGCTCTGTTTAAACATTTCGGCGTGTCAAATTACACCTTTGGATCCAAGACCAAAGATCATACAATATTAAAAGTGATAATTCAACCAAAAATGACAACTCTGCCATCATTTACTCTCCCTTCACCTGTTTCAAGCCTGTTTGCATTTCTTTCTCCTGTTGAACACAAAGGAAGATACTGAAGAACTCATTCATTTTCTTTTCAGCTTAGTCCCTTTATTAATCTGGGGTTGCCACAGTGGAATGAACCACCAGATACTGAAGAATGTTGCAAAAAAAAAAAAAAAATACAGCCATTGACTACCATGGTATTTTTGTCCCTACTATATGGATGTCAAAGGTTGCTTTTTTCCAACATGCTTTAAACCAGTAGTTCTCAAACTTTTTTCATCACGTACCACCTCAGAAAAAAAATTGTCTCTCCAAAATTGTACTCAAAAAAGTACCACCAAAATGAGCAGTATTGAAATACAATAGCGTAGTAGGCTCAGTAAAGCAGCTACAACTCTGCACAGTTAAAAAAACGTGGCAGATTACCTCAGAAATATAGGCTTTATGTCATATATAGCATATTATATACATCATTTTTTGATAAATTTTTGAAATGTGTGTAGCATGTACATGACATACATCATTCCTCCGCGTACCACTAGAAGGAAGCCTGAGTACCACTAGTGGTACACATACCACAGTTTGAGAACCACTGCTTTAAACAATATTGTTTTGTGTTCAACAGAAGAGCGAAATCCATAAAAGATTAGTACCACTTGATTGTGAGGAAATTGGGTGAACTATGCCTTTAACGAAATAAGTGAAATGGGATGAACAGCATTAAATATATGTTACAAGAAATAAATCTTAGACAAGAAAGTTAGTAAGAAGAATATTCTTTACAAATTTAAAATGAGGTGGTTTTTAAAAGATGTTTATGTTATATTAGACATACACATAGCTGTTTATTTAAAGTTGAAGATCTTCTTCTTCTTTCCTTCGTGAACTACAATAACGATGACATATTTTAACTCATTGCAATGCTTTGAATGTAAAAATAAATAGTTTTTTAATCCTAAATGTTTCACCTCAATATACAATCGACAACACTATTGTTAATCCTGCTGTGGAATTTTAATTCTTTTTAAAATATTTCCTAAGTGATATTTCACAGTGCAAAGAACTTCTCAAAGTGTTTCCTATAATATATTTCCTCTGAAACAGTGGCATTTGTTTTAGTTTGGCTGGAATAATTATAATAATTATAATTAAATGTAAAGACTGCTATGGTCAGTATTATTAGCCCCCTCTGGATACAGAACAAACCACTGTTGTTCAATGACTAATTAAATAAGCTTTAGTTAATTAATGAACCTAGTTAAGCCTTGCCAAATACGTAAAGTATAGTATAGTACATATAGTTCAGGCCTTCATGACAAAAAAAGAAACTACAAATTATTTGTTTATATTATAAGTTATTAACTACAAATAAAGCTATTATTAAATTAAAATCTTCTCTCCGTTAAGCAGCACTTGGAAAAAAATATTTGAATATTTTGGCTACTATTTTTGCTATTATTTCTGTATTTCTGTTCAGCATTGCTAAGTTTATGATTTTGTTGATTCTGTTTTCATCATAAAGGGGGCATTACTGTTGACTTGGCAATTAAAAAGAAATAATAAATTGCATCAGTTTATGACCAGGAGCATTTTGTGTTTATCTTTGTGCTTCTATCATTGAACGAGAACAGCTACCCCAACTACAGGCCTCTGCGTTGAACAATAAACGACTCGGCTGTCTTTTCACACTAAGATCATCAATACAGCTCAGTCAACTTTATTTTTCATTGCTTTATTTTAAGGTGATACAGTCAAATGCTGATTTACAAGTTATAGATAAATATACATAGTAATAATTATTACTTGTGTAATTACACTGTAACAACCTCACTTTAAAATATGTTTAACATATAAATGACAAATAAAACAGACCTTAATAGTATCTTCAAGATTTTTCACTGAGCATCGTAAGCTGAATCTGAGATCAAAATGTTGATGGGTCAGATTTTCAAATGATGTTTCAGATTATTTGCATATAAAATTATTCTCAGACTGTGGTTTGTGTCAGGACAAAAAATACCAAATCTGATGCTTTTTTTTAATGCAGAAGAAGTTTACTATTGCATAAGTCTAGTGTATTTCTGATCCGTCATCTTGGAATCATATTTTCAACTTATAATTAGCCTGACATGAAGATCAATAAAAAAAAAACCTAAAAGGATGCACTCTGTTACAACAGTAAATTGAAGAGTTAAAATAAAAAAAAAATGATAGATGGATGGTAGGTTAGATGATGGATGGATGGATGGATGGATGGAAGATAGATAGATAGATAGATAGATAGATAGATAGATAGATAGATAGATAGATAGATAGATAGATAGATAGATAGATAGATAGATAGATAGATAGATAGATAGATAGATAGATAGATAGATAGATAGATAGATAGATAGAGTGTTGAGTAAGCTTTACTTGTGGTTACTGGTTGGACACCTGTGTGAAACTAAGAGGAACTGCTTTAAAAACATAACCCCAAAAACATCTTAACTTCAGCTTTTAATGTTACATTTGGCAGACGCTTGTCAAAAGATGCTTGTCAAAAGCAACTTGCATTATTCATTCATTCATTTTCTTGTCTGCTTAGTCCCGGTATTAATCCGGGGTCGCCACAGCGGAATGAACCACCAACTTATCCAGCAAGTTTTTACGCAGCGGATGCCCTTTCAGCCGCAACCCATCTCTCGGAAACAACTTGCATTAATCACATTTATTTAGGTTTGTTTATCGGCTGAGCATTAAACCTAAAACATTGCTCTCGCTAGCACCATTTTTAAGCAACAGAAATCAGCATTTGGTTTGCAGAAGCCTCTTTAGTAGATATTTCAAATGTAGATATTTTGCATCTAGAAAAGGCATTTAATATTACGAGTAATTTTTTGTGAAGACTGTATAGGACATATTCTAATAAAGAATTAATATGGAATTAACTACTACTGATGTGCAATTAATATGGAGAGATTTTCTTTATTAAAGCTGGGAGGAGGAGGAGGAGGAGGATGATAAATAAAATTCTAAAGCGCTTAGAATTTATAACAGAAAATTAGAAATTAATAACAGAAATATCGGCATCTTAAAAGTGTACAGATCCTGACATTTTTTTTATTAATATATATATATATATTAGGCAATATATGGGTGAAAGACAAATACAGATTTTAAAGTATAAAGACGTTAAAATTATTTGAATTTTGACATCTATTTTTGTATGTTGTACTGTATTGAGAAATTTCTTTTAAAGTAACTAAGATGTCAAGTAAAATGTCTTTCAGTATAACAATAGATTACAGAGACAAGAAAAATGTGAGACAAATTGGAAGTCTCTTAAAAGGCTCAAAACACTGATTAATTGTAATTTTAACCTTTATACTTTCCCATTATCCTTTAAACTACGAGGTTTAATACATTTGTCAGCATGGTTTTAAAAATGTTAAATATAATTTAAAATCTAATAAAACTTTGTATGTTTACTTTCATGTAATGGTTTTCTGCGTATAAAACTCAATGTAGATGCAAAAATTGACCTCTATACTAGCGACGTAAACATGAAAAGAATACCAATTTATGGATAAAAATAATCAAAAGTTGTGAATGTGTTTAATGTTATTTACTTTTAATTGATATCTCAAATTGATTTACATGTTACATGTGCGTAAAAAGCATTCAATTTGACTGCTCAGTGTAATTGTTTGAACATTTAACATATCACGAAAAGGCTGACAGTTTTAAACCGTTGGACCTAAAATCCAAAATAGACAAAAATTGAACAATACTTAAAGTCTTTGACTTAATCTTCAACTAGTTTGCAAGTGTTTGTCTGCAAACAACTTAAATGTCCAATTAACAGTGCGCACTGAGGCCTTGGCCTACAAAACAGACCAAATTAAAATGTGAAGACTTAAAGGTAAGACAACTCATATATGCTGCTTATGTATGTCTGTACAATAAGGTGAATGCTGATTTAAAATTGTTCAATTTTTCTTGTCTACAACAATACAAATAAAAATGAATTGATATGAATTGTGCAAATGCATACTGAGAAACACAATCATTCAGCATAATGTTGTGCAGTAAGATAAACTAAATGTTTATATGAAAATAAATTGTGTTCCAGTGCAATTTAAAATGTATTTTCAAATGGTTATTCTTGTTATCATCAGATAATAAACCTCTGTTCATTCAGTACTCTGATCACAGACAACACAACTTAGTACATCGGCATCTGAAACGTTTGACCAAAACATTTGCCTTCATGCTTACAGTACGTTACACTAATAAAATGGTACAGGCCTATTTACATGGCAATGCGGCTTTATGGATCGAAACAAGCTGCTTGGAAACATAAATAACGAATAATACAAACTATCAGCACTGTCGTTTAGTTCGTGTCAGATATTATCTGAAGAACACTTCTACCTTTAGAAAAACAGATATGCGGACTAGCAGGTACCGAAAAAAGCAGTAGTGTTTGTCATCATGACAGAAAAAGAGAGCAATACTTACAGTTATGTAGAGGTGTGTGTGTCTTCTGTTTAGGGTCTCTCAGCTACACTGACATTTTCTGTCAGACACACTTCGTCAAACATAGAGAGAGAGAGAGAGAGAGAGAGAGAGAGAGAGAGAGAGAGAGAGAGAGAGAGAGAGAGAGAGAGAGAGAGAGCAGGAAACTGCGCAGCTCTCTTCATGTGTCTCTCACATCGTATCCCTGTTTAACTTTGACAGTTGATTAATATTAACGCCATTAATGTATTATCACTAATCACAGGTTTCCGTTTGCATCAGCGAGCTTTGCATGTAAATGCCTTTGTCTTTAATAACATTATACTGTGCCATTTAGCATCATCTGTATTTTCTTCATAAATCTGCTCTGGTAAAAGGCACAAAGAAACATTTGGTTGGTTTGTTTTGTAGTCTGTGAACATCTGTACATCATGGACACCTGTGAACTAAAAGAGCCCCAGCTGCACCAGTTTATATCTGCTTATTAAGTGCAAATGTGGAGAAACACACACATGCTGACGTGTTCACTTTTTATTGATTTATTTATTCAGATAAAAAATATTAACAGTAAGCTATTGTAATTCATAAAGTACAGTGGTGAACGTATTTAAACGATAAATCATATTTTGCTAAATATACACAATTTGTTTTTAGGGTACAGTAACCATCACATTTATTACAAGCTGTACAGCAAATCTTCAAAGTGCATGTCTTTTGATAGCATCAAGCAAGAACAAATAAGCCTTACACTACCGGTCAAAAGTTTAGAGTCAGTAAGATTTTAAAATGTTTTTAAATAAGATTCTCTATCTCACCAAGGCTGCATTTATTTATCAAAAATACAGTACAGATTGTGAAATTGTAATGCACTATATAATAACTGTTCAAAAGCAGTTTAATTTAATCATTTATTGCATTGATTTTAAAGATTAATTTTCAGCTTCATTACTTCAGTCTTCAGAGTCACATAATCCTTCAGAAATCACACTAATATTAAATAATATTATTATTAATAGTAATAAAAGCAACAATGACAGGAGTTACACTTTCATTTGAAACAGCATACAATGAGAAAGCAGTTATTTAAAATATATATAAAAATATATTTATTTATTTATTATTAATTATTATTAAAAGAAAAAAGTTCAAAAGGGGCTAATAATTCTAACTTCAACTATATATATATAGATATATATATCTTCTGGAGAAAGTCTTATTTGTTTTATTTCGGCTAGAATAAAAGCAGTTTTATTTTTACTTTAAATTTTTTTAACACCATTTTAAGGACAAAATGATTAGTCCCTTTAAGCTCCTTTTTTTTCGATAGTCTGCAGGACAAACCATTGCTATACAATAACTTTCCTAATAACCCTAACCTGCCTAGTTAACTTAATTAACCTAGTTAAGCCCTTAAATGCCACAAAAGCTTTAAAAATGTTTAGTAAAATATTTTTTTACTGTCATCATGGCAAAGATAAAATAAATCAGATATTAGAAATGAGTTATTAAAACTATTATTTTTAGAAATGTGTTGAAAAAATCTTCTCCAAATCTTCCATTAAAAAGAAATTGAGGGAAAAACAAACAGGGGTTGTAATAATTTAGGAGGGCTAATAATTCTGACTTCAACTGTGTGTGTGTGTGTGTGTGTGTGTGTGTGTGTGTGTGTGTGTGTATATATATATATATATATATATATATATATATTATTATTATTATTATTATTATTACATTTAATAAATGCCGCTTTGATGAACAGAATAACATTTTTTTTAAAAACATTTTAAAAAAAAACCTCAAACCTTTGACCGGTAATGTATATCATAATTACTGAAGTACTGGCTAATACAATTTTCTTTTGTTTTTGTTTTACAAATCTTGTGACAATCTCTCATTCAGGACCATGAATGAACCTGCATATTGACAATTTTTTCTATTTTTTTTTTTATTGTGGTTCATTCTGTCCTAAATAATTTGATGTCGCTAGAGAACAATGCTCTGCTGCTAAAGCACATAATAACACAAATATATATATATATATATATATATATATATATATATATATATATATATATATATATATATATATATATATATATATATATATCATTACAATAATTTTTATTTAATATTTTTGGAAAAAGAGTAAACTATGGTAAGTACAGTTTCATATGATCCTATGTTTTTATGTTGTAATGTGTGAGGAATATTGCTATTCCAGATTTACTGTGTCTCATTCATTACTAGTATTCTGGATTATTTTGTTTCTGGAGAACATCAGAACTTTTCCCAAAAACAATCTTCCTAATGCACAACACACCTGTATAAGCAAATTTGTTTTTATGGTTCTAATGGTGATGGAGTATTTGCCATGTTGACAAGGTTAGTCATTTGCAAAAAACACACCCAAACCATCTTCAAATAAGGGCTTTCCGCTCAGAATGTCATTTACAGCCTTTCCTCGCTTCCTCAAACATACACCGCTCTCTACAGACACAATCTTGCCAGATCCTCAAACAGTGCGCCAATCTCAAATCCAATACCAGTAGATTAAAAATTGTTTAACAACTACACCTCTTTCTGACCTCTCATTAGCCAGCAGTACATACTCATATATATCCATTGTTTTTCAGAAAAACTTCAGAAAACTTTTGCTAAATCATATTTTGATCATGAAAAAAAGTGATTATGCATGCTTGGTGAATGAGGCTGCGTGATTTTACCAGATTTTTTGTCCAAAAATGTGATTTTTGGTAAAATATTTTGAATCAAATTCAATTTGACCCACAGCATAAATCATGAACAGAAATGCAATGCAACATAAGGATCAAAAGCAGAGCCTGGCATGGCATGGTGTTTTCAAGCATGCTCATATGCATGGTTCAGCCCAGCCGTTCGTAGGTTCCGCTGTTGTCTAGGTGCTGGGAGAGGTCTCTCTCGCTGACACAAGACCACCTCTCTGTCAGACCTAAAAACAACAACATCAAAAAGATATTATGACAACACTGTAGCAGTTACACAAAAGAAGATATTTTGAAGAATGCTGCAAACTGATGGCCATTGCATTCCATAGTAAGAGAAAAATACTATGGGTGTCCACCGGTTAAAACGTTTTCAAAATATCTTCTTTTTTGTTTAATATTAGAATTAATCTCTAACAAATTTAGAAGAAGCTAAAAGTGGGTAAATTACAACAGAATCTAGATTTTAGGTTCATTATTATTTTAAGCTCATATGATATATCAGCTATTAACTTGAGGAGGACTGTAAATATATATATATATATATATATATATATATATATATATTTCCATAATTATGTTTAACAAAGCAAATTTTCACAGTATGTCTAATAATATTTTTTATTCTAAGTAAAGTCTTGTTAGTTTTATTTCAGCTAGAATAAAAGCAGTTTTTAATTTTTATGAAGCATTTTAAGGTCAAAATGATTAGCCCCTTTAAGCTATTTATTTTTCGATAGTCTACAGAACAAACCATTGTTATTCAATAATTTGCCTAATTACCCTAACCTGGCTAGTTAACCTGATTAGCATAGTTAAGCCTTTAAATAAGCTGTATAGAAGTGTCTTAAAAAATATCTAGTCAAATATTATTTACTGTCATCAGGGCAAAGATAAAATAAATCAGTTATTAGAAATGAGTTATTAAAACTATTATGTTAAAAAATGTGTTGAAAAAATAAACAGTGGGGCTGATAATTCTGACTTCAACTCTATATTTAAAAAAAAAAAAAAAAAAAATATATATATATATATATATATATATATATATATATATATATATATATATATATATATATATATATATATATATTCATAAACATTTATTAATATATAAATCATGGTGGCGCAGTGGGTAGCATGATTGCCTCACAGCAAGAAGGTTGCTTATTCAAGCCCCAGCTGGGTCAGTTGGCGTTTCTGTGAGTTTGCATGCTCTCCCCGTGTTCACGTGGTTTTTCTCCGGGTGCTTCAGGTTGCGTCACACTCCGAAGACATGCAGTCAATGAGAATAAGCTAAATTGGCTGTAGTCTATGTGTGTGAATACAAGAGTGTGTGGGTGTTTCCCAGTGTTGGGTTGCGGCTGAAAGGGCATTCGCTGCGTAAAACATATGCAGTTTAAGTTGGCGGTTCTTTCTACTGTGGCGACCCTGAATACTAAAGGGCCTAAGCCGAAAATAAACTGAATGAATGAATGAATGAATGAATGAATGAATGAATGAATGAATGAATGAATGAATGAATATATATATAAACCATTTCAAATGTAGGGATGTCATTGGTCCATGAACATTTCCTGCTTGTTGTCAAAACTATTTCATAACTGTAATAAGGCAATTTATTCATAACTAACCATTATAACAGCGATCATAACATTATTTATGAATATGTAGATCTTTTTGGACTCTTAAAAGCTACGGAAATTAAATATATATATATATATTTATGTATGTATAATGGTTTTTATACATTATAAAAATTATTTAAATCAAATTCATTAAAAAAAGATTTAGTTTTATAGCATCTGTTTGTATACTATCAGACAATAGTGTGGTATAAATGCCAGAGATACACTAATATTACAATTCTGTCTGAAATGGATAACAAGTAAATGGCTAATTTTAAAATTCAGTATTTATAAAAGTAAATAGAGGGTTATATTTAAAACTACATTAACATTTTAAACAATCAAGTCTACAAGACATAATTACAATAAATACATTATAAAAAATAAAGGTAATCTAAACATAAAAATAGGAAAACAAGCTAAATATTTAAAGACCCCAAATAAACCGATACTAATAAAAGGTCAAACAAGGTCAAATGAACAAAACATTAAAGTAAGTTACAATATTAAAAAAATTAAAAGGATAGCTCATACATTTTTTTTTTTTTACAAATTCATAAAATCTATCATTATGCCATGATTTACTCACCCTCATTATTTTGGCTTTCTTTTTTCTATGGAAGACAAAGGGAGATACTTTTAAAATTGTTGAGTTCCCTAAAGGCTAAAAGTAATTTCTATTTTTTTTTTTTAAATGACACATTTTTTAAATATTTTTTTTCTTACATGTCTTTTTTTTATTAATTTGCAGGTGAACTATCTCTATCTATAAGGCATATTGAAGCATTCCGGAAAGCTTGACAGTGAGTAAGACTGGCATTTACTGTATTTACGCAGAGTAAAGGAAGAGGATGTGCAGTACCTGTTGCACTGGCAGTAGTCTTTAGCTGTGAGAGGCTGCCGCATGGATCTCAGCTTTCTCACTCTCCTCTACATAAAGAAAAAGAAACTAAATGAGCCACTTCCGTTCCAGCTCGCTTGTTTACTTTGTTTTATGTTTTTCTCTCACCTTTTTTTGTTTGTTTTTTTGCTGCATACAGACAATTCCAATGATCAGTACCACCAGAACCACAGAAGAGGCTCCTACAGCAATCCAGATCCAAAGTTCAACTCCAAACATTCTCTTTCTGAAAATTCGTCCATCAAGTCCAGGCTTCGGATTTCTACTTGTTTTACCATCATTCCCATCTGTTCAGGATTTATTAAAAAAGACTGTATATATGGGATTTTGCTTACATAAAACATTTTTTTGTTCTCATTGGGATGAATCTATAGCCAAGTCTGTTAAATAATTATATTTTGCCTGCACAATAAACCATTAAATACAGCAATAAAATATACCCAATCATTCAAAATGCAACACAAAAATTTATAAATCAAATATTATAAATATCAAATAAATAAATATTGAATGTCTCATATATACTGTAATCGCTATTATAATGTAAACATAGAGAAACAGAGAAAACACAAATAATAATAATAGTAATAATAATAATAATAATAATAATAATAGTAATTCCTTATATTTATATAGCACTTTTCTAGACGTTCAAAGCGCTTTACAAATAAATCTATAAATTTATATAAAAGTTAATTTATACACTTTTTAAGAATATTTTGGTGTTTACAAAGGCTGCATTCATTTGATCAAAATTGCAAAAATGTCTATATTGTAGAAATGTTATTTAATCTGAATACAAACACAGAAGACTGGAGGAATGGTGCTGAAAATTTAGCTTTACATCACAGGCTTTAAAATATATTCACATGGGAAATAGTTCTGTTACATTGTAATACTATTTCACAAACTTATTGTTTTTATTGTATAAACATGTCTTTCAAAAACATATGTAAAAAAATATTTTATGTTTCCTAGTGCTAGAATTGCCTGGTCACTAACATCAGAGAGTAACTGACAGCAATTTTTACCTGTCCAACTCTTAACCGTCAAATTGGTCACAGCAGTTAATTTTCCTCCATGCTCAAACTCCACTTCACACACAAACTTCCCAGCAAAGATGCTCTGCACCTGGGAGAAGATGTGGAGAAATGACTGTCAACACACACTAAAAATAAAGCTTCTTTACTGGCATCTGTGGTTCTTTGAGGAACCCAGAATGCTTCGTCATTTTAGAAGAGTAACATCAAAATATATAATTATTCATGAAAATCAAAATTTACTTTTTTCAGAGTGACATTGAAGATGGTGCTGATGCGTTCAATATTATATTTGACTACTGATGAATTTACGCCATCCCAGTGTAAGCCTTCGTCTGCTGTGTTCTTCAGGGTTGGGAATGGGACTGTGGGAAGGTGGTCTGCTTTCCATTTCCCCCCCAAAACACTCTGAGATACAGGACGAGGAAGAAAACATGGCAGCTCTATGTCGAACCCTTCAGAAACTTCAACATTATTGATCTGGTGGTTTGCTGAAGACCAAACAAATGTCACAGACAGCATGAAATCTGAATTCTTATTATAAGAAAAGAGCTTTCACGTTAAATAACAACTGGTGAGGAACACCTACCAACAACAGTCAGTGTAACACTGAGCTTCAGGTCTTCGACCTTACAAGTCCACTTGCCTTCATCACTTGAAGTCACAGATTTCAGGTTAATCTTTTGATGTTTTGCATCATGTACTTGATCATTAGGGGGTCTCAGCCACTCTACTTCAGTGTTTGGGTCTCCTTCAATGTTGCAGTGCAGCTCCACATCACTAGACTGAATCAGCACTGGGCCTGGTTTAACAAACACTGACAGAGAAAAATGTGTAAATATGATAAATATGCAGTATAATAATTATATAAAACCGGCAGCTCTTTCTCACCAGACACAACATGCAGCGTGTATTGTTTCCCTGACTGTGTGCAGGAATAAACTCCAGAGTCTCTTGGCTCCAGTCTGGGAATCTTTAGAGTGTCTCCATATAAATTTACTTTGTCCACAGAATGGCCAGAACCTTTAAAACAATAATTAATTATAGTGGGACAACAAAGTTATTATGTTTTTGTTTTAAAAGGAGAGGAAAGTAATACCCTTGCGTCTTAATCCAGATTTGCCGGTAATGCTGATTAAGCGAATGTTGTTTAACCTCCACTCTATGTCACTATTTGGAGATGCTCCACACTGCAAAATAACCTCTTTCCCGGCTTCTTTATAAAGCACATCACACACCCCAGATGAAACACTCAGTGCTGATGGAGGATGAAGAATAAAAAAAGCTTAAAGAATGTCAGAGAAAGAATGCTGTGCAGAACGTGAAATCCTAAAAACTGCATTGTAATATTGTTTTTATTCCTAACAGTCTGAGTTACTAGTTCTTACCAAGAAGGAGAAAAAATAGCATCTTGTGAGCTGGTTTTCTAATCCTTTTCCTGAAATTTAAAATAAAAACAAAACATTAAAAACTTTTATCAAAATGTCAAGAATTAGGGCATTCGCAGCGTAAAACACGTGCTGGATAAGTTGGCGGTTCATTCTGCTGTGGCGACCCCAGGTTAAAAAAGGGACAAAGCCAAAAAGAAAAAGAATAAATGAATGTCAAGAGTTATTCATATTAATAAAGAAGTGCTTTGTAACAACTGAGAAAGAAAAGAGCAAATAGGAAAAAAAAAAACTGATAATGAGCCACAATCATTTTCTTGTTCGCAAATGTTTGGCCTAAAAAATCTCATTACAAATTAACTTTAAACTTTATCTGAGAACAAAGGCTAAACAAGCTGAACAAGCTTTAAGCTAAACAAGAAAAAATAGCAAATAGCTCCAAATTGTTTGCATGGATAAATTAACAAGATTTAAAAAAATAATAATAATGAGGAAAAAATGTTGCTAAAGGAATCAGGTATTTGTAGAAATTGTATGATTTCTAATGGTGTTTTCTCTTCTTTTTAATCAAAGCTTTTATATATATATATATATATATATATATATATATATATATATATATATATATATATATATATATATATATATATATATATACACATTTTCTTATCTTTAATATCTATTAAACTATCTGCAAATAAATGTTTCTTTTTCAAATTATACAGATTACAATCTGCATATTTATGCAACTTTTCCAGTTTGTTTTAACATATTTAAATTATTTATTGTAATTATGTATTATATTTTTTCATTTGCCAATATACAGAAATCTGTGAAGATACATTTATAAATATAATAATAAATATGTATATAATTTATGTAACTCGATACGATAAAAGATTATAACCAAGCATTTTACTCGCAAATTGAGCATGAGAAGAAATATATATTTGAAAATGGTTTCTGTGTCACAATTTAGATATTTATGATGCACATCCAGCTAAACCAAACATTTGTATCAAATATTTTATTGCTTTCTTAACAATTATTTCGTGCGAGATTTATAGTAGGCTTTTATATTATATTATATTATATTATATTATATTATATTATATTATATTATATTATATTATATTATATTATATTATAGTTTCCAGCTGAAAGCTCTGCTGTTAATACTCACGTTTGGATGCAGTTTTATATTTTGTTCACAAGTTTCAGAGAAGTTCTGCGCATTTAATCCAACTGACAAGTGTGTGAGAAACAGAGAAACCAGACGAGCAGAAAACCTGAACCCGCACGAGAAACTAAAGTGAGGCAAGAGAGCGGAAACAAAAAAAATGTTTGGAGAGCAGCAACCAATGTAGAGCAGAAAACGCCTCTCACACGCAGTAGTGTTAGTGGGAAATCCTCCAAATGACTGCTAGATTCGAGAATTTAGCTCCTAAATAGTCACAGTAACGTCATATATAAATAAGCTACATAATTAAAACTTATTAGGCTAGGTTATTTAGGCTAATCTACACAATATAGATAGGCCTACAAGTTACAAGTTAATTACCTCATCTGATGAATAAAAGATGTTCCTGAATTAAAATATGGCCTTTTTTGTAGCCCGTACGTGTGAACTTGCTTCATTCGATTAATGAAATAGCCTATCTCTTACCACACTACCTAAGCTGACTTTCAAATACAGTATAGGCTAAATTAATAATTGAAAATAGTTTTAAAACACAGAATTTTGATAAATTAACTAATTAATTATCATTTCATCAGCATCTACACACGTTTGAAAGGGAAAAAAGCAACATATAGCAGATGGTGATCCAAAACGGGAATGTTTTTGACTTGAGCTCCAAACAAGGCTACATTTTTAGGTCTGGGGTAGATGATTGGATAGCAATGTTATAACAGCTCCTGAAACTGTTTTTTTTTTTTGCATTGTGGTAGAAGAAGCTATAACCCCTTCTCTTCTTCTGCCCTTAAGTGTAAAATGTAAAGTTTTTAATCTGATTGTTTAAAAAAATGAGTTAGTCTCTCTTTTTTAAAATCTCTCTCTCCAGCAGAGGGCTCACTCGCCTAAGAGTTAACGGGGGAAATGTATTTAAAGCCACTGAAGTGCATTTCGGAAAGGGGACGCCATTAGGTTCACTCCAAAGATATACATCTCTTCATAAAAGACTCTTCTAGAAATTTATATGTAGCTCTAAATTATCTCTGTGGAATTGCTGATTTTGTTTCAGTCACAGATTATTTTTATTTCAGGTTAATAATACAAGCTCAGTCTTAAATCCTTCAAAATCCTGTGATTATCTTAGTCTTCATTTTTATTTTATTTTTTTTGCAGTTTGCTTTTTGTGTAAAAATTAATTGATAATTCTTTATACTTTTATATTCTCCTTTTTTCTTAGTACTAAGTACATAAGTATAAAAATAATACTAAAAATAAAGTCCTACTTGGTCATTTTAAGTATTTTAAGTCTTGCAATTTTTTCATGGCAAATATTTCTGAGAATTTTTAATTCTTGGGGAAAAAATTAGTTAAGGGTGCAAAGCTGATGAAAATTCAGTGGTTTTTTTTTCAGTGTTCAACCTTTTGACTGTTGATTCAGTGTCAGCTATCAGGGGTTCAGCCTCAACAGCAGGTAACAAGGTATAAAACAGGTCAGATTTTAGTTGTGTGAGAGGTTTGTAAGTGTTAAAAGTGACAAAATGACTCTTTAAAGTAGTCACTTTTTGTGTAGGCCTATTCACAAACAACACAATAAAACAAAACTCTCAATCTGTTACAAGCATTTCAATGTTCCATACCCCAAAAACTGTCCAAAAATCAAAATGTGCTGTATAGTCCCAAAGTGATAGTTCACCAGTTTATATACAATCCAAAAACAGTGATAATACAGAAGCTAGAATTTTGTGAAAGGGTAAGTCCAGACAAAAGGAATCTCCACTCTTTAAAAAAAGCTTAGAGGCTGTTTGTAGCCCTCTAGTTTTGGCCATGCTGCTCTCTGTATACTGTTTCCTGCTTCCTGTCAGGTAACTTATCTTCTTCCACACCGTTTTTAAGGGCATGCACCCACTAAAATCTTCGGAGTAATAAACAGGACTGATATTATGGTAAAACATGTCTCTAATATGACAGTGTCACTCAGTGGCGCAAAAAGGGGGTATGCAGTATATGCGGCGCACAGGGGCGCCACACATGGGGGGCGCCATTGTGCCAAAACAATTTTTGAAATTATCCATATTAAAAGTTTTAAATAATATATATATATATATTTGTTAAAAATGTTTATTTAGCATTTTATACGCGTATAATATTGTATTTTATTAAATTAAAAAATCATTCCACCCAACACCCCCCACCTCCATTTTTCATACCATATACATGTTTTTATGAATTTATTATGCATCATATTGATTCATCAGGCCTTTTGGTAACTTCTTAGCTTAAAACTATTTTAATTTTAGCTACAAACAAAGTTATAACATTTCAATTAAACAGAACATTTGTTTGTTTCTGTTTTTTTTTTTACACTAAACATTTGACAGTCTTTTTTATTTAACTTTTAGCAGTTTCAGTCAATGTTCTTGCAAAGACAGACCTTACACTTCTCACAGTATGCATGTGAGAAGTAATTGCAATGTTCTTTTGCCCTTTAGAACTCCCATGTCTATCATTTTGTTTTGACAAATGTAGTACAAAAAGTCCAAAAGCAAGGCTAGTCAAGGTGATATAATCATTTAGTGAGGGAAAATTAAATTGAGAAGAAATTTGGGGTGGTATGAGATGCATTTCTTTGCGACCTAACATGCTTAATGTACTACTTCATACTATTTCAGTTGTGTTCAGAAATGCGAAACTGCATTTTTTGAAGCATATTGATATCTTTATGAAAAAATATCTTTAATTTATTGATGGAAATATTTTCCACATTTTATCACTTGCCTGTTTATAAAATATAGTTGGATTGAAAGGGGGGCGCGTAAAAGTTGAAGCCGCATACCCATCAGTAAATGTGCAGTTGCGCCCCTGGTGTCACTCATATATGTCTTTTATGCACACAAACATGAGAGGGATCATTTCAAATCTTCCATTTTAATCTTTAATCTTCAAAGTGGGTTCTTCCTAGGGGCTAGGTCCGGGCCACTCATGCAGGACCAACACTAATGGGACAACAATTTTTAGCCATTGTCCAAATGGGCTAGCCAACAGTGGGCTGTCATTTGATAAATGTGGGCTGTTTGTTAGTGGGTGTTCTGACAGATCTCTTAGTCAGCCTGCAGCTGTAGGCCATCCAATCAAGCCCACACTTGGCCTAGATCTGGTGTGGGCTCGCCATAGTCTGCAGTGCCTGCCAAAAGCCAATATGCGCCCTGCATGAGCATATTTGCTGGGTAGTGTACACAGTCAGAACTACTTCAGCTGTGTGTGTGTTTTGCCTATTCTTCATTCTTCATGCTATAAAAAAACAAAATAATAATCAAAGAGATTGCTCCGGTCGTTTGCTTTTTAACATTTACTATCATTAATAGTACCTTTTTTATACTCTCAAAAATAAAGTTTTTCCCATTTTAATTACAGCAACATCACAGGTTATAGTCATTCACTAAGGGGATACTGCTGTACTTGCACTTTGTTGACTCTGCGGTGCATCTCCATGCTCAGCTTTTTTTAGAGAGTATTGCAAATCTGTATTGTTCTCCTATAATTATTATATAACTAAAGACTTTTCAAAGTAAAGCTGGAATCAATATTACTTGGTACTCAAGATTAAAATGAAATTGAGCAAAACAAACAAACCTGTTAATTACAATGAAGTTCTGTTTTAAATATTGATGCAAATTGGTTTGTAGTAGGGTAAGTATAGCTGATAATAATATTGTTGGAGCATTTTTATTTAATCAGATGAAGTGTGTTATTTTCCATTGATTTCAGGCTGTGGTTTTATGTCAGTTTTAGTTCAGTTTTTTTTTTTTTTTTTTTTTGCATGTTTCTTCTTTTCCATGTTCTTGTTTCGTTCTGTGATTCATTCACCTTGTCAGGGGAACTAAACTAATGTAAGCAGTAGAATGATATTTCAGACATATTCTCTTGGAAATGTTTTTATTTTATCTAAAAGCAAAAAGAGCGGAATGATTCTTTCCTCCCACAAATAAAGAAGTACTGTACAAGCGAAATCACAAAACAACTTCTGCATTAATTTTTTTTAACTGAAATTTTCATTATACATTTGTTTGTTTGCAAAGATATTTGCATGCTATTAAACATTTCCGAAAACAATCTGCAATACATAAATCCTTAAATTTGTCAGACTTGTCTTGTCAGTATAAAATCTGAAATATTATAGTTATGAAAACTATTTTATACAGAATGAATTTGGTTTAAAACTAGGGGACCCCCACCAACAACCGTCAGCGTAACACTGAACTTAAAGTCATTGACCACACATGTCCACTTGCCACCATCATTCAAAGTCACAGACTTCAAATGAATCACTTGATGTTTTGCATCATGTATTTGATCATTAGGGGGTCTCAGCCACTCTACTTCAGTGTTTGGGTCTCCTTCAATGTTGCAGTGCAGCTCCACATCACTAGACTGAATCAGCACTGGGCCTGGTTTAACAAACACTGACAGAGAAAAATGTGAAAATATGATAAATATGCAGTATAATAATTATATAAAACCGGCAGCTCTTTCTCACCTGACACAACATGCAGCGTGTATTGTTTCCCTGACTGTGTGCAGGAATAAACTCCAGAGTCTCTTGGCTCCAGTCTGGGAACCTTCAGAGTGTCTCCATATAAATTTACTTTGTCCGCAGTATGGCCAGAACCTTTAAAATAATAATTCATTATAGTGGGACTACAAACTTATTCTGCTTTTGTGTTGAAAGGAGAGGAAAGTAATACCCTTGCGTTTTAATCCAGATTTGCCTCTAATGCTGATTAAGAGAATGTTGTTTAACCTCCACTCTATATCACTATTTGAAGATGCTCCACACTGCAAAGAAACCTCTTTCCCAACTCCTTGATACAGCAACACCTCACACACCCCAGGTGAAACGCACAGTGCTGATGGGGAGAACAATTGTAAATTCATATTAAATTAAAATGCTAAGCATTGTACAGACAGACAGACAGACAGACAGACAGACAGACAGACAGACAGACAGACAGATAGATAGATAGATAGATAGATAGATAGATAGATAGATAGATAGATAGATAGATAGATAGATAGACAGAAAATCATGCCTCAGACAAAAATGCTTCAATCATCATAGAATAAAATGGCATCATGCCTCAGAATGAAAGGCTTCAGGTCTCAAGAAAAACTATCATTGTGTACAATCAGACAAAATGGCTAAAGACTTGGGTCATTTTGACTCATTTAAGACTGGTTACGTGCCGTGTAGATCTGTTTTATCTGTTGTTTCGGCCAAAACCATCAAATTGGTCACAGCAGTTAATTTTCCTCCATGCTCAAACTCCACTTCACACACAAACTTCCCTGCAAAGCTGCTCTGCACCTGAGAGAAGATGTGGAGAAATGACTGTCAACACACACTAAAAATAAAGCTTCATTACTGGCATCTGTGGTTCTTTGAGGAAGCCAGAATGCTTCATCATTTTAGAAGAGTAACATCAAAATGTAAATTAATCATGAAAATCAAAACTTACATTTATCAGAGTGACATTGAAGTTGGTGCTGAGGCGTTCAATATTATATTTGACTTCTGATGAATTTACGCCATCCCAGTGTAAGCCTTCGTCTGCTGTGTTCTTCAGGGTTGGGAATGGGACTGTGGGAAGGTGGTCTGCTTTCCATTTCCCCCCCAAAACACTCTGAGATACAGGACGAGGAAGAAAACATGGCAGCTCTATGTCGTCCCCTTCAGAAACTTCAACATTATTGATCTGGTGGTTTGCTGGAGAACCAAACAAATGTCACAGACAGCATGAAATCTGAATTCTTATTATAAGAAAAGAGCTTTCACGTTAAATAACAACTGGTGAGGAACACCTACCAACAACAGTCAGTGTAACACTGAGCTTCAGGTCTTCGACCTTACAAGTCCACTTGCCTTCATCACTTGAAGTCACAGATTTCAGGTTAATCTTTTGATGTTTTGCATCATGTACTTGATCATTAGGGGGTCTCAGCCACTCTACTTCAGTGTTTGGGTCTCCTTCAATGTTGCAGTGCAGCTCCACATCACTAGACTGAATCAGCACTGGGCCTGGTTTAACAAACACTGACAGAGAAAAATGGAGTAAATATGATAAATGTGCAGTATAATAATTATATAAAACCGGCAGCTCTTTCTCACCAGACACAACATGCAGCGTGTATTGTTTCCCTGACTGTGCGCAGGAATAAACTCCAGAGTCTCTTGGCTCCAGTCTGGGAATCTTCAGAGTGTCTCCATATAAATTTACTTTGTCCACAGAATGGCCAGAACCTTTAAAATCATAATTCATTATAGTGGGACAACAAACTTTTTCTGTTTTTGTTTTAAAAGGAGAGGAAAGTAATACCCTTGCGTCTTAATCCAGATTTGCCTCTAATGCTGATTAAGAGATTGTTGTTTAACCTCCACTCTATATCACTATTTGGAGATGCTCCACACTGCAAAGAAACCTCTTTACCGGCTTCTTTATAAAGCACATCACACACCCCAGATGAAACACTCAGTGCTGATGGAGGATGTAAAAAAGTTTAAAGAAAGAAACAGTGAGGAAACTGCATGAAGAGTAATCATAGACATATCAAAAACAAAAGAATATTATAATGCATTTTCTGGCTTTCTATTGCTTACCTAAAATGAGTAAAAACAGCATCTTGCAAGTTGAAACGACCTAAATAAATAAATAAAAATAAATAAATAATCAAAAATCCAGACACTAAAAATCCATTTGAATAAGAAAAAAAAATCTAAACTGTTCTTGTTTAAATAAAAAAAATCTTTATTAAATTATTTAAAACATGAGACAACTTAATATTTAATTTGATTAAACAAGAAACTACCAGACAACCAATAAACTTAAACATTGTTTCAGTCAAAATCTTGCAAATCCTACTTTCAAAAACACTGCACACTTGAAAAAAAAAATAGATTCAAAGATGATTCCTTGCTAAATGATTTAAAGTTTAAGTTTTTGTAAACGATTAATTTGGCTTGACATTATCAAGTAGAAAATTACTCAGTTTAATTTGTTTAAATTCAATCCATCTACACTGTTTGCAACAGTTTTGCAGAACTCATCTTTCTGTACCTCGAGATCAGCGTTTCTCCTTCTCCGGGTTTTGGCTGCTTTTTAAGAATCAGCTCGTGTAAACATTTTATGTTTTGTTGTTAGTTTGTATGCTCTGCCGTTCATACTCACGTTTGGATGGAGGTTTTGTATCCTGTTGACAAGTTTCATATTCATAGATCTGCGCATTTAGTCAGACTGACAAAACCACACGACACTGATATATAAATCTAAATAGCGGAAGCACAAAAAGTTAGTTTTACTTTTAAAAGCAACAACCAATGGAGAACAGGATATCGCTTCGAGTTTTTTTTTTTAATGAACGCTAGATTAGAAAACAATGCTTCTTAAGGACATAATGTACGCTACCTATTTTTTACACAAACCACTACCGCTACCTGTGTTTTACACAGCGGATGCCCTTCCAGCTGCAACCCAAAACTGGGAAACATCCACACACTAATTTACACACACTATACGGCCAACTTATTTTATTCAATTCAAATCTTGCTGTGACACGACAGTGCTAACCACAGAGCCACCGTGTCGCCCTGACATTTTCTTCTCGAAAAAAAGTCCTACATGAAAAAAAACCTATAGTAATAATAAACAGCATAGAATTTTGTACAATAGTGAAGTTAGCTGCTTTGGGAATTCAGTGTAGCAATACAACTACCCATTACTGTTTTAGCCCGGTTTTCCACAACTATAGTCTATACTAGGGGTGCCCAAACTTTTTTTTATAAAGGGCCAAAAAACAAACATAGCTGAGGGCTGTAGGTCGAAAGTAAATATATAAAAATGCATTAGAAAGTTGCAATGTGTAATTTTTTCAAAATAACATCTAAAAATAAATAGAAAGCTTTAATCGTATTAGGATAACTAATGCATTATTTTTTTCCTCTTTTAATTAACTTATTATAATGAAAACAAACAATTCCATTGATAACACAATGAACATTTAAATAAATCTGACTCATTTAAAACAATTTTAATTCAAGCTTGCTTTTTGTAGCTCAACAATAAAACAAACAAACAAAAAAGATTATGTTAAATTAGAAATGATAATCTCTATTAAAGGCATGGGATGGTGGGTCAAATCTTAGGTTATTATGGGCCAACTTTGGCCCGCAGGCCCTAGTTTGGGCACTATACCACCATTTTCAGTAGTAAAGATGCAAGTATACAAAACAATTTATTAATTTATCAGTTCACTATAGTTAATGCTACATCATGCTGTAACATTCACTAACATTAATTTTCTTTTCGGCTTAGTCCCTTTATTAATCAGGGAATGAACCGCCAACTTATCCAGCATATGTTTTGTGCAGCAGATGCCCTTCCACCTGCAACCCAACACTGGGAAACACCCATGCACACTCTTCCACACTCAAACACTATTGCAAATTCAGCTTATTCAATTCACCTACAGCGCATGTCTTTGGACTGTGGGGGACACCGGACCACCTGGAGGATACCCATGCAAACACGGGGAGAACATGCAAACTCCACACAGAAATGTCGACTGACCCAGCCAAGGCTCAAATCAGCGACCTTCTTGCTGTGAGGCGATCGTGCACCACCATGACACACATTCATCAACATAGAGTTGCAAATACTTTAATATATACCAGGGGTCAGCAACCCGCGGCTCTTTAGCGCTGCCCTTGTGGCTCCCTGGAGCTTTTTCAAAAATTTTGAAAATGGAAAAAGATGGGGGAGTTTAATATATTTTTTCAGTTTCAATATGATTTCTATAGGAGGACAAACATTTTTTACGTTTTCAAATGCTGTAAAAGTGTGTAGAATTAATATTTAATTTCAACATTTCTGTCAACGAAGATTTGCGTCATAGCCTGCGACACACGTTTCTATCAGCAGGGCGGGATGCCAGGCAGGAGGCTGTTGTAAACAAACCGGAAGATAATAAAGCATGGAAAACCGTTCACAGATGGTGACTACATGAAGGAGTCATTCAACATATTAGAACACCTATTTGCAGAATTCAAAAACAAAATCAAGATAATACAAAAAATTAAAGATATACCTCTCTCCTCTAAGACAGTGAAGGAAAGGGCTATTAAAATGGCAGGTAACATCACCGATCAGCAAACCAAGGACATTAATTCAGTGCCAGCATACTAAATTGCCTGTGATGTGACCGATATTCAATGCGCTTTTATGCAGGTATGTGAACTCTGATGGGCCGCAAGAAGAAATGATCAAATTATACCACTGAAAGACCAGAGGCTGTGCTAAAGTGTTTAGATGACAACGAAATAAACACCAACCACCTTATTTCAGTGGCTATTTAGTCATGAAGGCTCATTATGTATTTATAGCCAACTTACTATTTTTTTTAGTAGGCTAATATAGCTAATATAGATACATACAGCATGTGTTTCCTTCATTATAAGGCTTATATAAGGCTTTACATTTTTTGCGGCTCCAGACATATTTGTTTTTTGTTTTTTTTGGTCCAATATGGCTCTTTCAACATGTTGGGTTGCCGACCCCTGATATATACCATATACTATGCTTTACTATAGTATGCTTAAAATGTTGATCACTGACACAGCATTTAGTTGTCAGTAAAATGCTTTACACACATCCATTATTCATCACAAAACACAGACGCACAAATAGCAAAGAGACACAATTTTTTATTTTAAAGCAAAATGAACAAAATGATTCTTTCCTCCCCCCAAAAAAGGAGAACAAAACATAAGGAAAGAGTGAAACCGCACGATACCTTTTGCATTTATTATTATTTTAAATTTAAAACTCCAATACATAATATTTAGCAGTTATTTGAGTGTGATTTAGTGATATTTACTTGCCATTAAACATTTGCAGAAACATTCTGGAACACATAAAGGAAGGTGGAGCTTAGCTCTAGAAGCGGTGATGTCACAAAAGCCACTATCCAATCAGGGGGAGGCACGAATGAGACTACTGTCTTGTGTTTGTGTGTGTGTGTGTGGTAAGGCGCTGCACAGCATGGGCGTTTTGAGTAAGAACACTCTAACCCGCACATCCTACATTTGATTTTTTTTCCTTCCCGTGTGAGCTTTCTCTCAATAGTGAATATATCAGATGGAGAAGTGCTTTGACTTAAACTGCGGATCATTTCAGAAGCAGGAGCCAACTATACCTTTAGACCAGAAACAGAACTGTGTGTGTGCATGTGTATGTGTATGCGTGCGTGCATGAGACAGACAGAGATGATTTTCTAGTTTATTCCACCACTCTCCTGTAAAAGTACAGGTATCCCAGGTCCTTCGGTGGTTTCTCAGAGGCACAAACTTTCTGATCGTTAAAAATGACCCACCTGAAAGAAGCAAAGAGAGATGTTGAAGAAAGTTTTACTGCGAGGGACAGAAGGAGAGGAGTTGACTGATGGAGAGAGGACTGCACTCACTGTTGGTCCTTCTTGATGTGGCAGACGTAATGACCACACATTGTGCTCGATCCCATGTGACTGATGAATGCAAAGAGCTCATACTCTACAGGATGAAAGAATGAGAAGATTAAGCGTTAGAAGAGAACATCAAATGTAGAAAACAAGACTTTCCATAAGGGCACACATGAACACCTACTTCCAGTTCCATCACGGACACGAGGTCCTGGAGGAGGCTCTCGACTGGCCTCACTTCCACCCTCTGAGCGTCCTCCTTCAGACACATCCATGGACTCCAGATCATCCAGATGAGAGAAGATCCAGTCCACAGCTCGCTCCAGAACATTATTCTACAAATACAGAAGCATAAAAGGTTTGAAGAGGAATTGTCAACCAAATGACCTGTAAATGATAGTTCACAGAATTTTTAATGCGGATTGTCTTAAGATATAACTCTCAAACTGGAATCCTGGATGGCCGCGGCTCTGCACAGTTTTGCTCCAACCCAAATCAAACACAGCTGATTTAACCAAACAAGAAGGTCAAGACTACCAAGGATGATTCATAGATATATACATTAGATGTCGCCTGGCCTACTGTTGTCTATTGGACGGAATGCGTCAATAGCGCCGCCATCTTGCTACAGGGTAGCGCTCCTTTAAAATGAATGCGGGACCAAGGTACAGTGGAGGACTGTGGCCATCCAAAGCCTGAGATATACACATATATCTATGATCGGGAGTTTTCCTGGATGTTAGTGTGTAATTTTTTTTTCTAATTACGAAAATTATAATTTTACATCACTTTTCTACATTGATGGATCAGTGACCGCACGGGCATTCCTGACTAAAAGCTTGTGTTTGTGTGAACAGAAATGTACTATTCACCCTCCCTGTTAAATTTAATATAATCCATGTCCTGAAACACAGCTCCTCTCCTGCTTTCACTTCTCATACTGACGGAGAGAGCGATTCATTTGAATGAATCACCCGAACGACTCTTTCACTAACGTTAGCCGACAATTATAAGAGTTTCTGGCAGCACAGCATCTCGTTGTCATATTTCTTTTGCATTGTTTGCTAATTTTATTCAACAAAACTAGCATAAGCCGAGTGTTTAGTGCGAGTTGGAGCTGCTTTGCCGTATGGTGAATGCAGTAAGTGACTGTTATCATCAATAACGTTACCTGATTAGCACAAAAGTTCAGAACATACAAACACAGAAAAAAACTTAATATTACCTATGAAATGTTCTGCCTTTGTGCTTTGTTTGCCCGTTACTACACCCGTAGACAGCGCTAAAGTCCCGCATCTTCACGTAATAACACTGTGTTGACTAGTGCGGTTGAATGACATTTGTCCTGGGAGCACTGTACCAATGTGGCGGCGCTATTGACGCATGCTGAGGGTCCCTATGTGATATCTAGTGTATATATCTATGAGGATGATTAAGCAAGTGTGAGTTAGAGGTGGTTGGAGGTAAACTGCAGAACTGCGGATCATCAGAAGTTGATTTTGAGTCAATCGCCTTAAGACTTTATGTATAATTTTATTATTGTGAAAATTTCATTTTTGCACATTTTTTGTAACCCGATGCCAAAATTTAATAGCCGATTTGTGTTCAAGAAAAGCCACTTATTGAGCGCCAGGTCTCAAAATGTAAAAAAAATCATGTTCTTTATTTAGCACTAGACTGATCAATTTATTTTCAACAAATACGACTAAAACAATTAGTATCACTACTTTTACTTATTTCGAGTTTGATGATAACAAGATATATTCCAAATATTTTACAGATCCTAAAGGATCATGTGTAGAACATTTCTGTAAGACAAAAGTTCTCACCGTTGCTCTGAGAGCACGAGTAGCCTGATCTCGACTGAATCCCATTGAAACAATGGTTGCCAGGTGTTCTTCGGGTAGGCTTTCTGTGGGTGTCGTGCCAGGAGCAGAACTAGAGCCAGGCAACACCAAAGGTGCAGCGAAATCTGCAGAAAAAAAACAGACTCATTACTTAAAATCTGCATGCTACCTTAAATGAAAATGTACAAAACCTGCCTCTGCAAACCTGTCGCTCTACAGCTGTTTTTAAATTAATCATCAAATTAAGCAAAAAATGCAACCTTTTTTTCAAAGGTTTATAC